TCACATCCAATGTCCTCAATACCATGATCTATCGCCTTCTACCTCAATCACCAGGACAACTTTCCACTCCTCAACTTTGGCACCATTTCCATGCCTACCTTCAGAATACACCAGTTTCCGTGGATCTCTATGCAGTCAACCCGGATTCTTCAACTCCGTCCCCCAAGACCGCCTGATCCAAGCCGTCCAAAGCCTGGTCAACCGTTGGCAACACACATTTGCTACCCCAACCCTCACGGTGGACACACACACAACCGGAGACCCAATCCAGCTTGCCCACATTGGCCGTCATCACCGCAAACATCCCACACAACGGACACTACACACTGACGACATCACCACGATTGTAGCCCTAGCACTTGACTCATGCATTTTCAAGGCATGCAACTCATACTTCCTGCAGGTCCGAGGAGCCGGGATTGGCTCTCAGCTCTCGCCGGCCTTGTGCAACGTCGCCATCACTCTTATCGAACACTCCTGGCATCAACTTCACCACTCGTTGACAGATCACACCGAGATCCACTTCGTCTACTACCGGTACGTGGACAATCGCTTCATCGCGTTCAACCACATCTTCCTCAAACACCTGGCCATCCGGACTTTGATCCACCCGGACTTCTATGGCAACCCAGTGGAACTGGAACCCGTGGAAGACATGCGCCTACTGGGCTTTGATGTCGACTTACATCAACACACTATCTCCTACAGAGTGCGCCGTCCCCGGCCCTCTGTGTGTGTGTCACCACCTGTCTCCAAGGTTCTCGTAACTAATTTTTCACAAGGACTGCAGAACTACTCCATACTACTGTTCTACTCAGTTCCAGTTTTCAGCAGCAGGGGGACCATCCATGTGCTGTGCGCGATGGTCCAACGAAGCGGCCACAGCACATGCGGATATCTGGCCTGATCAGCCAGACGTACCTGCAGTTTTTCACCTGCGACACTTCATCTTGGGCCCTGCTTCTAACTAGAACAAGAAATCCAGCCTTTGCACCGGTTTGCAGTAAGCGGCTAATGCATTCCAACAATTTGTTGAACATCTTCAACTTTCCGGACTTTTTCACCTTTCGGTTTGCACTCTTCTTCCAGTCAAGGGGAACTTCATACTGACAATAGCTCTTGCGAGCAACTCTCTAAGTGTGGAACCCTTGGAGTCAGAGGGAGCCTTTAGGCTTCAAAGCAGGGGGTAGTGTCAGTTCACTTTGGATCGCTACCAACGAAGACGCCCATTTGATCTGGTGATATCAGAGTTGGCCACTCTGACGTACCTGCTACATGTTTATGGTGATGGTGCTCAACAGGTGTGCATTCCTACCTCGGTTCTGCACAGGCTGGTTCAGGTAAGACAGGTCGGCTGTCAAGCGTTTGATCCTTTGGACCTTGAGATCAAACTTTTTGGAACCTTTGGACCTTTTGTAGTTCGAGATAGTAGGGCCGCCTTGCATGATCCCGATTTTACTTAGGTCTCTCTTTTCCCCGAGGTTTCCTCTAGGCATTCGGTGGCCTTCAATCGGACTCTTATCTCAAGTGTGTGTGTGTGTGTTCCACTTAGCAAGCGAACATACATCCAGCCCAAGGATGTATATAGATGAGAAAATTGCAAGCATAGAACCACACAATGTGTACTGTATTTAGATGATTGATTGCTTTAGTAAATGTTATATAATGTCAAGGTGAGTAAAACGTAATGGCCTTCTCAGTCTTCAATGTGCAGAGTCTAGAGAAATTCAGAAGGCAAAATGTCGCGGAGGAGCTTTATCATTGCTAGGTGGTTGCCAAAAACAACAACCATGCAGCTACGATAATCATCAAGAAGGATGCGCTTTGCATGCACGAGGATGTGACAGTCATCGGCTTTCTTATCGGCACTGGTTTCCAACATCCAGACTATGTTTACGGTTACTGTCACTGGATGATCACTTTGAAATTGAATTTAATATCAAAAAAAGTAAGAAGAAACCATCCATACTAAGTCGCGTGAGTCTCTGTTCCTGAATCATGCGAAAAGTCGGATACAGTGGCAGCTTGCGAATCATCATGCTCAACCTCAATGACTCAAGGCACAAAAGATGAAAGAGAATGAAAAGACATGCATGATCAAACTTTTACATGCGAGATTCTTGAAAATTCACCAACAGCAAAAGCATTTACTTCTCCAAAAAATTTGGGGCTCCAAGACATCCATGGCCTTCTCCCACGTCTGCCAAGCAGAGTGCTCCCGTTTCCGCCAGCCAAACCAGCTGTTCCAGTTGTTGCCATGATATTCTTGAGCCTCGGCAAACCGCAAAAATAACAAATGAGGACCATCATGAGGACCATGCCAAGCGAGAGCTTTCAATACAGCTAAGTTATGTGAGACAAGAGGTATGCCAAGCACGCATTGACAGATTGATGTAACTTAATCGCTTTCCGAGGGGCTCTTGGCGGTGCCGAGTGAGCAGCTGTACCTGAGATCAGTTGAAACGTAAATGATCAAATGTGGCCTCGACACAGGGTTACGCTTGCGCGAATACATGCACTCCACACCCTATCCACCTAAAACCATTAGACGGGTCGATGAGTCAAAGCCAGTCAAAGGCATTGAATATAGGCGGTCCTTTTGACACTACCGCACCTGCCGCATGAAGCGACCCAGAAGCTTCGACACGAATGTGACCAGAGTCTATGTATATGTATAAGTATAAGAGGTACCTCTGCAAACAAAGTGTCTTCCTCCTGAACTATGTACTGTATATAGATAAAGGATCCAATCCAGCAAGGGCAAGTACCAACTCTACCTCCTCTTGACATAGGTCTTTTCACAGAACCAAGTGCCATCTATATAGTACCCACTTCAAATGTGTCAACTCCTTGTATACTTCGCATCTGTAACTGCTTTGCAGGTCTAAAGCATGTTCAAGGCCTCTGCGAGCGTAGCCGTAGCTTTTTCGCGAATGCTCCGGCGTTACGCGCTGCCAGACAAATCCAGAACCACCACGGAGATTATTCCTTACATCCACATGCAAGCTGCTGAACATTCAGGCAACGGACTTTTGCTATTGAGCAGGGGTCCGATCCTTTTGGGTCAACAAATACCCCCGAAAACTGACGGCTTACACCAGTGCTGCATCTCGGTGTCCACTGAAGCTTGTGTTCATTTGAAGTAGCCTCATCCAGCACATATTTCTGACCTGCATCACATTTGGCAGGCAGAGACTTGATGACAACACTCTCACACCTCAAGTAGCATGACCTTCTTCCAGCCGAATGTTTGCTGAGTCAACTTTTTTTGAAACACAAAACCACTCAGACCTACAGTACTCAAACCACTGAGTCAAACCACTCAAACCCCTTCTGAGCCCAAGACCCCAAACGATGGTCCAATCGCCGAACTGCTTTATTACAGACTGTCTGTCAAAAACATCACCATTTGGCCGCTGTATGCGGACACTGCAGGAATAGCTTTCACCGTCGAAGCCACTGTCGCAAGTCACCTGGAGAAGTAAATGGTTGACATCAAAAAGGCTTCCAAGTCCAAGGGATCACTTTGTCTCTTCATCGTGCTATGTTTTGTTTCTATGGCGCCGCTTACCAAGCACTCTTGGGAACATGCTCCGCGGTCGACATGCGCTAGTCCAATGTTGGCTTCCACTTCCAGAGCCCGGTTTGGTTGCACACGTCTACAGTTGTCCAAGTCTGTAAACTCCTTGTCCAGTGTTTCACCCTTGTTTAAACGGTGTTTCTTTGTCGAGACTGTTCTACCTGTGCACCTCTTGGCAACACAGTGCTACTCATTCTACTATGGACTCCTCCCTAAGTAAGTTTCCCAAAAAAATCTAGGAACCAAATCATTAGTGCGAGCGCGTCTTCAAGGAAGCTTCACTCTGCCCTCAGGCGGGGGAAGCTTCAAGCCCCTTTTAAAGGCCCTTACCTTCCTCTTATATCTGTTTTCTTCCAAAACATCCGGAAGGCCCGGAAGGCATTGTGAGCATCCAGTTAAGAGGTGCTGATTGTGTGACAGGTCAACGTGAAACATGGAGCAACCCATCCGTCTCTCAGCCTCATAGTACGATCCTCGAGGATCTGCCCATGTGCCAGCAACAATTTGCAACTCCACTCCTTTATCCCTACGACCGCGACGGTAATCATGTGGGATCCCCATTCTCTTCCTGAAGGCAGCTCACTCCGAACATCAAGCATGACCAGGGAACATCTTTGACAGCCACAAACATTACAGCAAATAGTCAATGAAGGCCAATGAAGGCGGCATGCTATGTAACAAAACACACAGGAGGGCCAGAGTGGGAAGAATGGCAGGTAACAATTGATGGAGCATAAGAAGAAAACGTTGATAAAACACAGCGTGCCTTTTAGATGTCACATCCATGGAGAAAATCGACAGCTTAGCATACGTGCTGCCCCGGAGGATCAATAGAATCCGAGATTCGACGAGATTCAGACACTTTCTGTATTGGATAATGGACAGCGTCCGAGGCAAACACGGAGTGCTATCTAAGAGCCGAATGGCCAGGACAGGCAGGGCCCTTCAGCAATGGTAACTTCTTTGATCTTGATGCAAAAGACTGGCGACTCGGCCCCATAACCTATGTTTAAACTCAAAGAATAATGGAGAGACCAGGTCTGCCCACCTTGGTGAAGGCCGATCCTTGGAAGAATATTTCTTATGTAAGCCACATGGAAGTCTACATATGCATTCCCTTTCGGGGTCTTCTTTGCCGGTTGGTCCTCTGGGTCAGGCTGACTTCTTCAGTGCACTTCTAGGACCCCGGTTTGACGCAGCTGGACGAAACCGCCTAGAACACACGTTCTCCCTGTATGATGACATGCATGAGCCTGTCGGCAGACTCTGGCTTGCTTAGTTCTAAACCATGTTCAACAGCAACTATGTGAAAGACTTTGTTGAAAGCATACAAGCATGGGCCAGAGGTCAAATTTGAACAAACACTGCAAGGTACTTATATATTTCACGATCAGCTCAGCCAAACTTGCAGGCTTTTTTCCAGCCGCCAAGCGTACTCCTGATCTGAAAATCTTAGCAGTGGCAGTCTCCATCAATTGGCTTCCAGCTTCAAGCAACCGTGTGCTACCCCACCAGCTCTTCAAATCCACATCACGAGCACAGAAAGTGGAAACTTGCTCCTTGAAAGCTGTGAATCCTTGGTCCAAGTAGCCAGGAGCCCCTAGTAGCGTCCTAGGTCCAAGTCCAAGCCAAAGTGTCCAATACCCAATCTTTGAGCAGGTTGAATCAGGCAGCCGATGCGAAAGCTTAGAGTCGGTGGATGAGTATCCTTCTTCACCAAACTGATTTCTTGCTGTTCAGTTTTTTGTGCATTCTCTTTCAGCTCGAATGGTTCACACTGCTGTCCGTATTGTCAGACGTATTCTTGGTCTCCGTGAGCACTTTTCAGCATACTCCATGAACTTCTGACCTCCACACTTGGTCTTTCCACAGTGCAACTCTCGTGGGCTCAAACAGGAGAGTCAGGAGAGTGTGCCGTCATGGTCAGTGTACCTGAAGAAGGCCAAAGCCTGACTGTCACAGTCATAGCCACCGAACTACAATTTCTTTATTCTGACTTCTGACAATACCCCCCAGGTGCCGGGCTCTTTGGAAGAATCATTTGGTTTTGCAACACCAGCACCACTTCTTCGTCTCGAAACTCGCGAAAATGCAAAGAGTAGCCATGACCTCAAGGCGCACACCGTCTTTGCATTCAAGAAAACTGCAATTCTCCAAAGATTCAGGAACTTCACTGAGTGAAAGCAGGGCACGAAAAAGCATTTCAGCCTCAAAGTGAACCAGACAGGAGGCGTTTCAATTCGGGGAACACTGCAACTGAGCGGAACGATGACGACAGTCACTGGTCAGCAAACCAGAAAGAACATCGACCAAAGCCTTTTCCAACTAGCTGAGCATGCAGCCATCTTTCCAGGCTTTGTGTTCTGTTGGCTGACAGAACCTGCCAAAACTTTAACCTGCGGGAAGCAATTGTGGTAGCCGATCCTATCAGCAAAAGCGCTTGACTGCTTTCTTCAGCAGCACGCCCATGCAAAAGGTCAAAAACCGAGTATGCAGGTAAAAATAGCGCTGTGGCCTTTCCATTTGCAAAGAAGCGCTCCCCAGAGCGTAGGGCATCATACTCACGACCAAGTACATGAATGCGCATCAAATCCACCTGGACAAAAATAGTGTCGAGATTTGAAAAAAAAAAAAAAGCCTGGTGGATCAGCAATAAGCCAGTCTATATAAAGTGTAGACTCCAGCATAATTATGCATAATTATGGTTATAAGTTATAACTAGAAACTTTTCTGAGTACCTTGGACCTGCACTCAGGCCTCTAGAATGCCATACTCCATAAAAATGGCATCCAAGCTTCTGCACTCCTGCAGCATGCCACTGCATGGACAAAAATCCCACGAATAAAAACCTACAACTGTATGCTGGCAAGTGGCGACGGGTTTAGGTCCGCTCATCTCAGAGGCCTCGAGAATCGCATGAGATCGCACTACGCTTTGGTGTGAATATTGAAATTGCGAAGTCCGCCCGCACCGAAGGTGCTGGGGCGTGTGTATCCGGATGGCATAGTCAATCGCAAAATTTCAGTTTTTGCTGGGAGGGGCTATTTTTTGGTCAAGAAGCCTGAGTTCTTGAAGGTTGTTGAAAATCGAGTGCAAATTAGCCTAGCTGGAGACCCCAATAGCAAGATACAAACCGGGACAAAAAGAAAAATCTGGAAACAGCTGCTGTTTTCAACACATCGACCATCTCTTCCTTGGACACCATCATCACATAACCGGGACACCATCACAAAATGACTAGGGCACCATCAAAACATGACCGAGACACCGTCACAACATGATTGGGACACCATCACAACATAACCGGGACACCATCACAACAGGACCGGGACACCATCAAAACATGATCGGGACACCATCACAACATGACCGCGCCACCATCACATGATCGGGACACACCATCAAAGCATGACCGGGACACCGTCACAACACGACCGGGACACCATCAAAACATGACCGGGACACCATCACAACATGACCGGGACACCATCACAACATGACCGGGACACCTTCAAAACATGACCGGGACACCATCACAACATGACCGGGACACCATCAAAACATGACCGGGACACCATCAAAACAGGGACGGGACACCATCACAACATGATTGGGTCACAATCAAAACATGATCGGGACACCATCAAAACATGACCGGGACACCAGCATCACATGACCCGGACGCCATCAAAACATGACCGGGACACCATCCGCCCACCAGCTCTGACGGTGACCCGACGGCGCCCGTCCGCCTATTAATTTTGCAAGACCCCATAGCATGGCTATTGGGGAAAAACGTCCTAAGTAACGGCACTTGATAAGGTTTTCGGACAAGCAAACTTTTGAGGCGTTCTTGAAAAGTTGAAAGCTGTTGGGTTTTTAGATTTTGTCAAGAATTGCCAGGTAGAACCGGCATAAACAAACGCCAGCGGCTTCATTTTACGGCTCCAGCTGGCTAGGGCTAGGGGTTCGTATCAGCCAGGTAGAACCGGGACGGTGGGAATCTATGATCTATGTATTTCATTATAGCACTCAGAACATCTTTTTGAAAGGCAGTTTGTCACAAGAGGCACGCGTCACAAAGGGCTCCACGCACACATGAAGTTGCATGTTTTGTTCTACTAGCAACAAGCCTAGAGTCTGCGCTAAAGCTCGCAGTGTCAAACAGCAGCGTTGCTAAATGGCAGGTGCTCGGCGTCAAGAAAAGATTTGCCTCCTTTTTTGGCTGCTCCCACGCTTTGCCGGCTTTGAACATTAAGCAAGGCAAAGGGAAAATGTTGCTACCATGATTCCGACGTCAACGCTACCACGACTACAATTATGACCACGATTGACTATAGCCACCACCAGTACAACTATACTATACCGTTACTATTGCAGCAGCAGCAGTAGCAGCAGCAGCAGCAGCAGCGGACCAGCAAGCCAGAAGCAGCAACACCGGCAAGGATCCGCACTCTTTCCCGAGCTCTTCCCATGATCAAGGTCAAGCTGACTAGACCCCCGACCATAGTTTGTCTCTGACTCATATTACCATGCTGGGTTTCTACAGCGCCCAACGGTATGGACACAATCAGACTCCCAGTGCGGAAGAACCAGCCGCGTAGCAGCACGAATAGGCACATCGCTATTAGGTTGGCATCCATCACTAGTAGGTTGGAGGCCATTACAATTAGGCCGGAGGCCATCGCTACTGGGTACATTGAAATTGTCTATTTTAGGCTTGACGTCAAGGGTCTGCATCTGCTGCAGTCTCAGTCCAGGCTGGCTGGACCATGGCAGGGCCTGTGGCCTTCAGCTCCAGGGAATATCTGCCTTGCACTCATGCGGATTAGTGTTGAGACGGTTAGCAGGACAAACTGCTCTCTCTCTCTCTCACACATTTCGCTTCCGAAATGCAAACCTGGTCACCAAGGACTTGTTGAAGATTGAAGCCGAGAAACGTTTGTCATCTGGACAAACAAACTGTTCCACAACAGTAAGCCTGTCCTCGGCAGAGTAATGTGTTGGCGAAAGCTGTATTCACGTGATGAGAGACTCGTTACAACTGCAATGATTTTGAATGGAGGTGTCATGGCGGCAGCAAATGCGAAACGTGTTGCGCATGTACCATAAACGAGGGCCGTTTTCACGCAACTGGTACACAACCTCAATCCACTACTTCGCACATGTCCTCAGAAAATATCAAACCCCAAAGTGAAGCCCAGCTGCGTCGAACAAACAACGCAAATATGAGTGAGGCTTGTGTATCTTACACATCAATAAACTCGAGCATGCATAAGTAAGTGAGTTTGGTAGACAAATACGAACACACCCATAGATACCTTCTGAGTATAATCTCATGAATCTGTCTTGACTTTGGCTCTGTCCCATGATTTGAAAGCAATGGGGGGCACATGTTGCCAGTACAAACTACTATGCACAGAAGAAAGTGAATTAGCCCAGCTGGAGACCCCAACAGCAAGATACAAACCGGGACAAAAAGAAAAATCTGGAAACAGCTGCGGTTTTCAACACATCGACCATCTCTTCCTTGGACACCATCATCACATAACCGGGACACCAAATGACCAGGGCACCATCAAAACATGACCGAGACACCGTCACAACATG